TCCACCGCCCAACGCGTCCTTGGCCGTGCATGCCGACAACACCAGGATTGGTTCAACGAAAACAATGCAGACGTCAGCAATCTGCTCGCCAAGAAGAACCATCTGCGCAAAGCCTATGTTGACTGCCCTACCGACGCCACGAAAGCGGCCTTCTACTAAAGTCACCGTCTTGTGCAACAGTGGCTGAGGGAAATGCAGGATGCTTGGATGGCCCACAAGGACGAGGAAATCCAAGGCTACACAGACTAATGAATGGAAGAATTTCTTCGCTGTACTCAAGGCCGTCTACGGCCCCATTGTCAAAGGGACAGCTCCTCTGCTCAGCGCTGATGGATCCACCCTACTCACTGAGAAGGCACAGATCCTGCAACACTGGGCCGAGCACTTCCAAGGCGTACTCAACCGCCCTTCCATCATCTCCGAAGCCGCCATCGGCCGACTGCCTCAGGTGGAAATCAACACAAATCTCGAACTCCCACCTACTCTCCAGGAAACTATCAAGGCAATGCAGCAACTCTCCAGTGGGCAAGCACCTGGCTCTGATGCGATCCCTGAGGTGATCTACAAACACAGTGGCCACAAACTCATCTCCTACTTAACTACACTCTTCCAGGAGATGTGGCGGCAAGGCCAAGTCCCCCAGGACCTCAAGGACACCACAATTGTCCACCTCTACAAACGCAAGGAGAATCACCGAGTCTCTGACAATCATCGGGGAATATCGGTACTCAACATGGCCGGCAAAATCTTCGCTCGGATTCTCCTGAACCGTCTCAACAACCACTTCGAACAAGGACTCCTGCTGGAGAGCCAATTTGGTTTTCGCCTTCACCGCGGCACCATGGACATGATATTCGCTGCGCGCCAATTGCAGGAGAAGTGCCAAAGGATGCGCAACCACCTGTACATCACTTTCGTGGATCTAACGAAAGCGTTCGACACGGTGAATCGCACTGGGCTTTGGAAAGTCGTGCAAAAGTTTGGCTGTCCTGAGCACTTCATCCATATGGTACGCCAGTCCCTACCCTCTTTAGTCTCATGTTCTCTGCCATACTGACGGACGCCTACCGTGACGAGCGTCCCGGGTTCCCTATAAACTACAGAACCTTCTCA